GTGTTTCCTGATGGTCTTTGGCGACCCCTCTGATACCCCCTCGCGACCCCTCCAGGGGTCCCGACCCCCAGGTTGAGAAACGCTGAATTAGGAACTGCTATTTATAATGAAATTTTGAAAGTTTTGTTAGAGTTCTGTTACTGTCACCACCAAAACTCTAGTTTTGTAAGTACTTTAGAACCATTTAGAATCATGGATTGCACATGTCTGTATTTATAATGAAATTTTGAAGTTTTGTTAGAGTTCTGATATTTTCACCACCAGAACCAATTAGGAACTGTATTTATAATGAAATTTTGAAGTTTTGTTAGAGTTCTGTTATTTTCACTGTGTCTGTTTTTAATCATTCATGAATAAGTAACGTGTCGTCGTGCCCCCCCCCCCTTAAATATATGTAAAACCCCTGCTGAAATTATTTTTAAAAGTGAGCGAAATGGATCAAAACACACTCTCAAGGCTAAGTGCATTGGCAGCTCTAATCATAGGCCTTTTTGTGGGAGGGTCACTCGAGATGTCAGAAAAGAGGAGGAGGGCAACGTCTGGTCCCCGCTCGCATATTTGCCCGTCTTTAAAATTCCATTTGGATTTAGAAGAATTAAGGGGTTCCTATCTGCATTCACCGAAAGGTTTTCAATTTCGTTTTGGCTATTGAACTAAAAAATGCCAACTATTACTGTGTTGATCTTGTTCTTGACCTGAGCTGCATTATGAACTGAGAATGTGTTCTTAGCGAATTGTTAAAAGTCCTTTGAAAACTTGTAAATCCCTGTAATTTATGTTCCTGTGTCCTCTGCCACTTTTTTTCCGTACGGGTTTTTTTTTTCCAGAGACTTCTGGTTTTAATTTGAGTGCAGTCTTGTCCAGGTCTGTCTACCTGCAAAAGGTGGCGGGGTTTCTTTTTCCTCCAAAGCACAACAGACAATTACAACCTTTGGGTTTTACGGAGGGCCTAAACATAGGGCGGCACCTTCGGAAATTGGCATCAGGTCTTATTAATATTGCTAACTGTACCCGCCACGCATTGCTGTGGCCAACCTTCCCTCCCTCTTTTTCTCCTTTCTTTCTCTCCTTCCTTCCTTCCTTCCCTTTTTTCTTTCATTCTCTCCTTCCTTTCTTCTCTTCCTCTTCCCTTCCTTCTTCCCTTTTCTTTCCCTCCCTCTTTCTCTCCTTCCTTCCTTCCGTTCGTTCTTTTTTTCCTTCCTTCTCTCTTTCCTTATTTCTTTCCTTTTTTCTTCCTTCTTCCTTTCCTTCCTTTTTCCTCTTCCCTTCCTTCCCCTTTCTTTTCCCTCCCTCTTTCTTCTTTCTTCTTTTCGTTCTTTTTTCTTTCCTTCTCTTCCTTCTTCTTTTCCTTTTTTCTTTCCTTCTCTCCTTCCTTCCGTTTTTCCTCTTCCCTTCCTTCCCCCTTTTCTTTCCCTCCCTCTTTCTCTCTCTTTCTTTCTTTTGTTCCTTTTTTCCCTTCCTTCTTTTTTCCTTTTTTCTTTCCTTCCTCTTCCTTCCTTTTTCCTCTTCCTTCCTTTCCCCTTTTCTTTCCCTCTTTCTCTCCTTTCTTTCTTTTGTTCTTTTTTCCTTCTTTCTCTCTTTCCTTCTTTACTTTTTTCTTTCCTTCTTTCCTTCCTTCCTTCCTTCCTTCCTTCTCTACCTCTTTCCTTCCTTCTCCTCCCTTCTCTTTCTCCCCTTTCTTCCTTCTCTACCTATTCTTGGACTGCAACTCCCAGCAGTCCTCTTGATCCATCTATCTGCCTACCTACCTATCTCTATCCAATCTCTCTATCTGGAGGATTGCTAGGATTGCAGTCCAGGAATAGGAAATTGGAAATATGCCGGTATTGGGATGCTCTCAAGAGAAAGCTTGCAGCTTGGAAGCAGTGCATTTGGATCATCCTCCTCTCCTAAAGGGCCTGGTTTAGGAGATGCTGGCAGCTGTAGTCCGGAAGAGAGTGTGGATATGCTATTGTGTGTTTTTGTTTGTTTTGTTTGTCGTTTTCCACATATATTGTAATGTAATTTTGTTTATTGGCTTTTTAAGTTCCTTCCACTGTGTTTTTCAATGTTTTTCTGAGTGATGGTCACTCATTGGCCTGATAGGTGTCTTGTGTCCAATTTGGTGTCAAGTCATCCAGTGGTTTTTGAGTTACCTTAATCCCACAAACAAACATTACATTATTATTTATATAGACTAGCTGTACCCGCCACGCGTTGCTGTGACCAACATTTCCTCCCTCTTTCTCTCCTTTCTTTCTTTGCTTCCCTTTTTCTTTTCTTTCTTTTTTCTTCCTTCTCTACCTATTTTTTCCTCGCTTCCTTTGCTCTTTGGTTCCATCTTTCCTTGTCTCCTTCCTTCCGTCCCTCTTTCTCCCTTTCGTTCCTTCTCTCCTTCCTTCCCTCTCTCTTTCCTTCCCTTTTTCTTTCCTTTCTTCTTTCTTCCTTCTCTACCTATTTTTTCCTTGCTTCCTTTGCTCTTTGGTTCCATATTTCCTTGTCTCCTTCCTTCCTTCCTTCCTTCCCTCTCTCTTTCCTTCCTTCTTTCACTTTTTATTTCCTTCTCTCCTTTCTTCCTTCTCTAGCTTTCTTTCTCTCCTTCCCTCCTTCTTTCCCTCTTTCTCTCCCTCCTTCTCTCCTTCCTTCCTTCCTTCCTTCCTTCCTTCCTTCCTCCTTTCTGTGTATATGTTTTATGTGTGCATATATGTGTGTACATATTTGTGTATATGTGTATATATGTGTATTTGTGTATATATGTGGTTTTGCGCATGTGTTGTAATGTATTTTTGGTTTTTTGGCTTTTTAAGTCTCTTGTGCTGTGCTTTTCGGCGTTTTTATGAGTGGTGGTCACTTGTTGGCCTGAGAGGTGTCTTGTGTCCAAATTTGGTGTCAATTCGTCCAGTGGTTTTTGAGTTATGTTAATCCCACAAACAGACATGGCATTTTTATTTATACAGATGACAGTTGCCTCTTAAGCGATCCATTGTCAGCCGTTATTGCAAAGACTTCATGGGATTGGCGAGTAATTTAAGAGAGTTCAATTTGGAAGATATTATCACTGCATTGCTCGGCGTTTTGAGATATACGCCCTTAGAAATGCGCCTTGCTTGCATGACAACCGTCCCATTTATCTAAGCAATTCCCCTTTTAGAAAGTCAAGGGCACTGATAGAAATCTCGAGGAAAAGAACCAACGGGACGGTAATGCTACATAAAATTCCCAGCCACTGTCTTGAATTTTTGTTTGAATATCCAGAGAGGCAACATCTCCGGTAAAACCCATTTTTCCAACCTTTCATCCCATCCCCAATTTCTTTCACTTCTCTTCAGACCCTATTCCGTCTCCTTCTGCATCATCCCAACTTATTTATCTCTTACTAGCCATCCCTTGCCACACGTTGCTGTCGCCCAGGCTGTGTATATGTGTTTTGTGTGTGTATATATGTGATTTTGCGCATATGTTGTAATGTATTTTTTTTGGCGTTTTAAGTCTCTTCTGCTGTGTTTTTCAGTGTTTTTATGAGTGATGGTCACTCATCGGCCTGATCGGTGTGTTGTGTCCAAATTTCGTGTCAATTTGTCCAGTGTTTTTTTGAGTTATGATAATCCCACAAACGAACATTACATTTTTGTTTATATCGATATAGATGCACTAGCTGTACCCGCCACACATTGCTGTGGCCAATCTTCCCTCCCTCTTTCTCTCCTTCCTTCCCTCCCTCTTTCCTTCCCTTTTCTTCTTTTCTTCTCTCCTTCTCTCCTTCCTTCCTTCTCTACCTCTTTCCCTATTTCCTTCCCTCCCTCTTTCTCTCCTTTCTTTCTTCTATATATAACTCTTTCCCTCCTTCCTTCACTCCCTCTTTCTCTCCTTTCTTCCTTCTCTATCTACCTCTTTCCCTCCTTCCTTCACTCCCTCTTTCCTTCTTCTCCTTTTTTCTTTCTGTCTCTTCTTCCTTCTCTATCTCTTTCTTTCCCTTCACCCTTTTTCTTTTCTTCTCTACCTCTTTCCTTCCTTCCTTTGCTTTTTGCTTTCATCCTTCCTTCTCTCTTTTCTTCTTTCCTTCCCTCCCTCTTTCTCTCCTTCTTTCCTTCCTTTCCTTTTTTCTTTCCTTCTCTCCTTCCTTCCTTCTCTATGCCTTCCTTCTCTACGCCTCTTTTCCTCTTTTACTCCTTTCTTTCTTCTCTACCTCTTTCCTTCCCTCCTACGCTCTTTGCTTCCATGCTTCCTTCTCTCTTTGTTTCTTTCTTTCTTTCTTTCTTTTTCTTCCCCTTCCCCTCCCTCTTTTCCCTTTTTTCTGTATATCATTTAGCTTTTCCTTTTCCCCCTCAGCTGCTTAAGCGGCTGTTTTGGGGGAGATTTTATGAGTGATGGTCACTCGTTGGTCTGTTAGGGGTGTAGTGTCCAAATTTCGTGTCATTTCGTCCAGTTGGTTTTTGAGTTCTGTTAATCCCACAAACAAACATTACATTTTTATTTATATATATTGTCGAAGACTTTCATGGCCGGAATCACTGGGTTGTTGTAGGTTTTTTTGGGCTATATGGCCATGGTCTAGTGGCATTCTCTCCTGACGTTTCGCCTGCATCTATGGCAAGCATCCTCAGAGGTCGTGACGTTATTTATATAGATTGAAACTCCGTAAGACCTTCCTTGTACCAACACATTTGCTCCTGTTGTGTGTTTGAAGAAATTGGAAGAATGAAAAGCCAAGCCAGAGGGTCTATTTGTATTTTAAATCTACTTTTTAATTTAGCTTTGTTTTTAATAATTATCATTCCATACCCAACACATAAACGTTTTTAAAAATGGAGCGGCAACTTCAAATCCCGGGTGAGACTTAATGCATTTTTGGTGGTGGACGTACTGAAATTAGTGCGCTCCTTACAACCAGCGTTGTCTTCGACATTATGGAGACCAGTCTATCAATCTCACTGTTTTACGCTCGTGGTTCTCGTTGCAGTAGATCCAGGGAATCTGCTGCCTTTGCGCCGCTAACGTTGTCCCGCCTACGTGTATTCCAGGTAATCGTTCAGTCTGGCCGCCATCCGACGGTGCTGCAGAAGCTGTGCCAGCTACCCTTCCAGTACTTCAGTGACCCTCGCCTCATCAAAGTCCTCTTCCCGACCCTTATTGCTGCTTGTTACAACAATCCCCAGAACAAGATCATCCTGGAGCAGGAGATGAGCTGCGTCTTGCTTGCCACCTTCATCCAGGTATGTCACCATTTGATCCGCACCCTACACTTGCGGCATATAAACTAGGCATCTGACAACTTTGGCCCTCCCTCCAGGTGTTTTGGACTTCAACTCCCACAATTCCTAACAGCCGGTAGGCTGTTAGGAATTGTGGGAGTTGAAGTCCAAAATACCTGGAGGGATGAAGTAGCTTCCTGTATAAATATTGCTTGGATGAAGCGTCGGCGGCATATTTGTGTTTTTATATATCTTAAAATTATATTGAAATGCATTTAATGTAAGCCACTTTAAGTCTCCTTTGTGGAGAGAAAAAGTGGCATATGGATAAACATTATTATTATTATTATTATTATTATTGTGACACAAAGACACAGTATGTCACAGCAAATAAGATCTGTATACTGGATTCCATATCACAAAATCACAAGTCAAACATTTCCCAAGCATCTAGGACTGTGTGATGCATTATTATTATTATTATTATTATTATTATTATTATTATTATTATTATTAGCCAACAAAGACCGACTGAACTCTGCTATTATTTATGACTGAGATTTCTCCTACAATTATTTTGGCTTTAAGGTAAAGACCTGGGGTTTTTTTCCCTATAGGAGTGACTGTAATGGATGAGGGTTTTTTTTTTTTTTTTTCACATTTTGAATAATTGATTTATTTACTGAAAACAACTGGAACAGGAAAACGCTGTGGTAACAGATCCCGCCATTCATCATCCCCTTACAAAAGGTTCGTATTCACTCTCTCTCATTTTTACATAGTCAAAAACAATGCTGTCGCCAACCACAGAAGCAGAACAATGTGATACGACTACCTTGAAACATCTCCACTTGAAATCCAGGATTCGACCCTTAACTGAGAATGAGTGTGTCGCTTTTGTAAAAACTTACACTCCTTTCAAAAGATGCACCCTATGAGGCAAATCTTGCTCAATTTCTTTTAGATATGGAAGAATTAAATGGAAAAAAGAGAAACATCCTTTTTGTTGAGAATCTTGGGCATGATTGTGACATGCTCTCAATGCAACTGTCTGTCAAAGGACATTGATAATGGATGAGGTTTTGAAGGGAAAGCCCTCCACTTTGTATCTGGTCGACTAGAATTAAGAACTTCCCTGATGAGTGTTTTGCTTTCTGGAAATAGTGTCTATGGCATTGAATGTTTGCCATGTATATGTACGTTGTGATCCACCCTGAGTCCCCTGTGGGGTGAGAAGGGCGGAATATAAATACTGTAAATAAAATAAATAAATAATAATTATTACTATTCTGACAAAAAAAACACAGTATGTCACAGCAAATGAAATCTATATGCTGGATTCCGTATCACAAAATCACAAGTCAAACACTTCCCAAGCGTCTCGGACTGTGTGATGTAGTATTATTATTATTACTGTTATTGTGACACAAAAACACAGTATGACACAGCAAATGAGATCTGTATGCTGGATTCCGTATCACAAAATCACAAGTCGAGCACTTCCCAAGCGTCTAGGACTGTGTGATTTTATTATTATTATTATTATTATTATTATTATTATTATTATTATTGTGACACAAAGACACAGTATGTCACAGCAAATGAGATCTGTATACTGGTTTCCATATCACAAAATCACAAGTCAAACACTTCCCAAGCGTCTAGGACTGTGTGATTTTATTATTATTATTATTATTATTATTATTATTATTATTATTATTGTGACACAAAGACACAGTATGTCACAGCAAATGAGATCTGTATACTGGATTCCATATCACAAAATCACAAGTCGAACATTTCCCAAGCATCTAGTACTGTGTGATGTATTTTTTTTGTTGTTGTTGTTGTTGTGACACAAAGACACAGTATGTCACAGCAAATGAGATCTGTATGCTGGATTCCGTATCAAAAAATCACAAGTCGAACCCTCCCTAGTCCCCCCCCACCCACCCCCCCTTCCCCACCCCCACCACCCCTGAACCCCCCCACACCACCCCCCCCCCCCACCCCCCCCCCCCCCCCACCCCCGTATCAAAAAATCACAAGTCGAACACTTCCCCAGCATCTAGGACTGTGTGATGATTATTATTATTATTATTATTATTATTATTATTATTATATTATTATATAACTTATTACATTATATAACTTATCCTTGACAAGAGGGTGAAATGAACACGCCAAACTCCTCTGGGACTTCCGGATTCAGACAGACAGTGTTTTGGAGCACAAGACTCCTGACCTCACAATCGTGTTAAAAAACAAAGTATGGATCGTCAATGTCGCAATCCCAGGTGACAGCAAGATTGAAGAAAAACGACTGGAATAGCTGACACGATACGAGGATTTAAAGATCAAACTGCAAAGACTCTGGCACAAACCAGTCAAGGTGATCCCAGTGGTGATCGGCACACTGGGTGCAGTGCCTAAAGACCTTGGCCTGCACTTAAACACAATCAGCACTGACAAAATTACCATCTGCCAGCTGCAAAAGGCCACCTTACTGGGATCTGCATGCATTATTCGCTGATACATCACATAGTCCTAGACACTTGGGAAGTGTCCGATGTGTGATCCAATACAACAGCCAGCAGAGTGTCTGGACTCATCTTGTTGTGTTTCTAATAATAATAATAATAATAATAATAATAATAATAATAATAATAATAATAATGTATGATCCAATACAACAGTCAGCAGAGTGATCTTGTCTGCTGTGGACTTGTTGTGTTTCAAATAATAATAATAATAATAATAATAATAATAATAATAATAATATCTCATTTGATGTGACGTACTGTGTTTTTGTATCAGTAAAATAATAATGATAATATGTTTCAAATAATGTGTTTCAAATAATAATAATAATAATAGTAAACTTGGCACAGAGAACTCCCATGACCAACAGAAAATACTGGAAAGGTTTGGTGGGCATTGATCTTAAGCATTGGAGTTGTAGTTCACCTACACCCAAACAGCAAATAATGATAGATCTGGACCAAACTTGGCACAAATACTCAATACGTCCAAATGTGGACACTGGAAGAGTTTGGGGGAAATAGATCTTGACATTTGGGAGTTGAAGATGCTGGGATTTATAGTTCACCTACAATCAAAGAACATTCTGAACTCCAACAACGATGGAATTGATCCAAACTTGCACACAGGACTCCCATGACCAAGAGAAAATACTGGAAGCGTTTGGTGGGGATTGACCTTGAGTTTGGGAGTTGTAGTTCACCTACATCCAGAGAGCACTGTGGACTCAAACAATGATGGATCTGGACCACACTTTCCATGGATACTACATATGCCCAAATGTGAACACTGGTGGAGTTTGGAGAAAATAGATCTTGACATTTGGGAGTTGTGGTTGCTGGGATTTACAGTGCACCTATAATCAAAGCGCTTAAGTGGCTGGGGGAAAAGAAAGAGGCCTGGGGCTGTTAAGAATTGTGGGAGTCAAAGTCCAAAACACCTGGAGGGATGAAGTAGCTTCCTGTATAAATATTGCTTGGATAATCAAGGAAATATTGAGGAAATATTGCTTTTATTCTAGCGGGATTGAAGTATTTTCAAGATTGTCATACCCATGAAAACGGAGAGTAGGAAGATAAATATGAATTCATGCTGAAAAAATGTGTTGACTGTAATCTATATTGAAAGAGAGACAAAAGATACAATTCTCAAGAAGCAAAGTGTGTATATGTGTGTGTGTGTGTATCGATAGATAGATAGATAGATAGATAGATAGATAGATAGATAGATAGATAGATAGATAGATAAGAATTTAACCCATTGCGCCACCGGAGGCTCTGCGTAGTGTAATACATTATTATTATTATTATTATTATTATTATTATTATTATTATTATTATTATGCGATTCTCAAGAAGCAAAGTGTATATGTATATATGTGTATATGTGTGTGTATGTGTACACACACACACACACAATAATTTAACCCATTTTCCACCTCTTATGTTGTTTGTTTTCCCTGGGAAAGCCATTGACATTCAGCTGTTGGATTGGAAACGTCCAGCAAAAATCAAGCCGTGCTTAACTTTACTAAACGTTAATGTAGGTTTTGGTTTCTGGTTCACTGAAACGGAGCCAACTCAGCAGCCTGAAGATACGTCTGTTTTCCTCGGGGTTGGGGAAACCGTTTAGCCATCCCATTAAAATAGGGGAAAAACCGAATGTAATAATATTAAGCAAACAAACAACCCGGCAAGGATTCCTTCCTCTCTGGTGCAGATCATGCGAAATGCAAACCAGGCTCCCGTGCGGTTTGGAGTCTCCGCTTGCTGTCCTGGAGAGACAAGATCTGGGTGACTTCCCCGGGCAAATCTCCCCTTCGGTTCCCAGCGAGAGTCTCTTTCTTTCTCTGGTGGGAGAATGAATGGGAGAGATCTGACCCCAGGATTGGAACATAAATGTTTACCATATGGAAGGACTGGGGAGGGGGTCTGGTTGCATGCATTCGGGGACGTATTAAAATGGCACTGCAGCACCGAAAAAGGAGAAACATCTTCTTGCTTTCAGAGCAAAACAAAGGACGGAATTGTTTCTTGCCCTCGGATGTTGTTCAAAAAGGTTTTTTCCCCCCACCTTCAGTGTTGTTATTTTCTGTTAAAGAAGGAAATATATTGCTTTAGCAAGAATTTTTGCGGGCAGGTTTATTATTCTGCCAACACGACGGAACAGACCTTAACATTTGGGTGTTGTAGTTGCTGGGATGTATAGTTCACCTAAAACGGTGGTTCCCAACCTTCCTAATGCCACGACCCCTTAATACGCTTCCTCGTGTTATGGTGACCCCCAACCATAAAATTAGTTTCATTGCTACTTCATAATTGTCATTTTACTGCTGTTATGAATAGTAATGTAAATATCTGATGAGCCCCTGGTGGCGCAGTGGGTTAAACCCCTATGCCGGCAGGACTGAAGACCCGACAGGTTGCAGGTTGAATCCGGGGAGAGGCGGATGAGCTCCCTCTATCAGCTCCAGCTCCTCATGCGGGGACATGAGAGAAGCCTCCCACAAGGATGATAAAAACATCAAATCATCCGGGCGTCCCCTGGGCAACGTCCTTGCAGACGGCCAATTCTCTCACACCAGAAGCGACTTGCAGTTTCAAGTCACTCCTGACACGACAATAATGTAAATATCTGATATGCAGGATGTATTTTCATACACTGGACCAAATTTGGCACAAAGACCCAATACACCCAAATTTAAATACTGGTGGGATTGGGGGAGGGTATTGATTTTGTCCTGTGGGAGTTGTAGTTGCTGGGATTTATAGTTAACCTACAATCAAAGAGCATTCTGAACTCCACCAATGATGGAATTGAATCAAACTTGGCACACTGAACTCCCATGACCAACAGAAAATACTGGAAGGGTTTGGTGGCATTGACCTTGAATTTTTGGAGTTGTAGTTCACCTAAATCCAGAGAGCACTGTGGACTCAACCAATGATGGATCTGGACCAAACTTGGCACGAATTCTCAATATGCCCAAATGTAAACACTAATGGGGTTTGGGGAAAATAGACCTTGACATTTGGGAGTTGTAGTTGCTGGGATTTATAGTTCGCCTACAATCAAAGAGCATTCTGAACCCTTCCAACGATAGAATTGGGCCAAACTTCTCACACAGAACCTCCATGACCAACAGAAAATACTGTGTTTTCTTGTGGTCTTTGGTGACCCCTCTGACACCCCCTCGCGACCCCTCCAGGGGTCCCGACCCCCAGGTTGAGAAACACTGACCTACAATCAAAGAGCATTCTGAACCCCACCAACGATAGAATTGGGCCAGTTGGTGCTTGGATTTCACAGTGCTCTCTGGATGTAGGTGAACTACAACTCCCCCAATTTAAGGTGAATTTTCCCCAAAGACCTCCAGTATTTTTTGCTGGTCATGGGGACTCTGTGTGCCAAATTAGGTCCAATCCCCTCTTTGGTGGATCAGAGTACTCTTTGATTGCAGGTGAACTATACATCCCAGTACCTACAACTCCAAAATGTCCAGACCAAATCTCCTCGAAACCCACCAGTATTCAAATTTGGATATATCGGGTATGCGTGCCAAATTTGGTCCAGATCCATCATTGTTTGGGTTCATAATGTGTTCTGGATGTAGGTGAACTACAACTCTTATAAATTCCTTCAAAGACCTCCAGTATTTTTTGTTGGTCATGGGGGCTCTGTGTGCCAAATTAGGTCCAATCCCCTCTTTGGTGGATCTGAGTTCTCTTTGATTGCAGGTGAACTAAACATCCCAGTACCTACAACTCCAAAATGTCCGGACCAAATCTCCTCGAAACCCACCAGTATTCAAATTTGGATATATCGGGTATGCGTGCCAAGTTTGGTCCAGATCCATCATTGTTTGGGTTCATAGTGTGTTCTGGATGTGGGTGAACTACAACTCTTATAAATCCCTTCAAAGACCTCCAGTATTTTTTGTTGGTCATGGGGGCTCTGTGTGCCAAATTAGATCCAATCCCCTCTTTGGTGGATCAGAATTCTCTTTGATTGCAGGTGAACTATACATCCCAGTACCTACAACTCCAAAATGTCCAGACCAAATCTCCTCGAAACCCACCAGTATTCAAATTTGGATATATCGGGTATGCGTGCCAAATTTGGTCCAGATCCATCTTTGTTTGGGTTCATAGTGTGTTCTGGATGTAGGTGAACTACAACTCTTATAAATCCCTTCAAAGAGTTCTGGTATTTTTTGTTGGTCATGGGGGCTTTGTGTGCCAACTTTTTTCCAGGTCCATCATTGGTGGGATTCAGAGTGCTCTTAGGTTGCAGGTGAACTATACATCCCAGGACCTACAACTCCTATAAATCATGATGAATTCTCCCCAAAGTTCTATACTACGTTCAGTTGCTGATCAGTTCCATAGAAAAGAATAGGAAAAGGTTATAGGAGAGGCAGTGGGCGGGCGTCATGCCAATTCCACACCAATGGAGAGAATCAGGAACATGGGGATGTCTCAGAATGTCAGATTTTGTTCTTCTTTATGCAGTAATCTGTGAATAATCAACTGCAAATGCTTCGCCTGTGAAAGTGAAGTGATGACAACATAAGAGTCCTGTGCGTCCTGTCCCACAAACAAAGATGAATGTATGATCATTCTGTATTAAGAAGCATCGTATTATTGTCCAACTGTGTTTGACATCCGCTTGTGGCTCTTACCTTAAAGTCATCTAGATCAGTGCAAATCTCTTGTTTTCTCTTCCATCGCTCAATCCGAGAGCCAGGCTCTAGTTTTCCTATTGTGTGGTGGAGCCGGGGAGGCTGCTTACGGTAGGCCCCCGGGAAGCTCAGCCGCAGAGGCAGTGTTTGCGTCTCAGGCTCTCCTTCCTCCTGCGGAGGGCAGTTGAGGGCCTTGGCCGCCCGACTCTCTCCTGAGCGATGCATCCTCGGCACCCCAAGGATTTCGATGGCCTGGGCTTCCGGGGCAGCCAGGAGGAGCTGGGTCATTCGGTCAGCACCCTGCCCGACATCCCCGGGAGCCACAACCTCCACTGGGGCGAGAAGACCCCACAGCTTGTGGCCGGGACCCCGCTGAGGGCCTCTGCCAGAAGACCCCTCTGGCAGAGGGCCCGGCACCAGTTCCAAACAGTTGAATTGGTTTACAGCAGTGTTTCTCAACCTGGGGGTCGGGACCCCTGGGGGGGTCATGAGAGCGTGTCTGAGGGGTCGCCAAAGATTATCAGAAGACACAGTATTTTCTCTTGGTCATCTGGGTTATGTGTGGAAATTTAGGTCCAGAATGCTTGTAGGTGAACTATAAATCCCAGCAACTACAACTCCCAAATGTCAAGGTCTATTTCTTCCAAACTCTGCCAGTGTTCACATTTGGGCATATTGAGTATTCGTGCCAAGTTTGGTCCAGATCCATCATTGTTTGAGTCTACAATGCTCTCTGGATGTAGGTGAACTACAACTCCAAAACTCAAGGTCAGTGCTCACCAAACCCTTCCAGTATTTTCTGTTAGTCATGGGAGTTCTGTGTGCCAAGTTTGGTTCAATTCAATAGTTGGTGGAGTTCTGAATGCTCTTTGATTGTAGGTGAACTATAAATCCCAGCAACTACAACTCTCAAATGCCAAGATCTATTTCCCCCAAACTCCATCTGTGTTCACATTTGGGCATATTGAGTATTTGTGCCAAATTTGGTCCTGATCCATCATCGTTTGAGTCCACAGATGTAGGTGAACTATAACTCCCAAACTCAAGATCAATACCCGCCAAACCCTGCTAGTGTTTTTTGTTGGTCATGGGAGTCCTGTGTGCCAAGATTGGTTCAGTTCCATCATTGGTGTTCAGAATGCTCTTTGATTGTAGATGAACTATAAATCCCAGAAAGTACAACTCTCAAATGATAAAACCAGTCCCTCCCCCCAACCCCAACAGTATTCAAATTTGGGCATATTGGGTATTTGTGCCAAATTTGGTCCAGTGAATGAAAATACATCCTGCATATCGGATATTTATATTACGATTCATAACAGGAGCAAAATTACAGTTATGAAGTAACAATGAAAATAATTTTATGGTTGGGGGTCACCAAACATGAGGAACTGTATCAAGGGGTCGCGGCATTAGGAAGGTTGAGAAACCCTGGTTTACAGGCTTTGGAATTGATCTGGCAAGTTTGTTTACAGAGAATGTGTTGGCTCATCCTTGCATCGTTCTGCGTCGGCAGTGTCAGGTGAATTATCATGCCGAGAATTATCATCTCACACCATTTACAATCATCAATATTATGTATAGCATCAATAAGACCCAGGGACGCAGAGCTCTTTGGAAAGGAATGGGAAGTACTTTCATTGTTCAGGGCATAACTCTAGGAGAGGAAGGCATAATCAGTGAATTCACCCCTTTGCCAAGAGAGCTTTCATATAAATGGAGTCCCAAGCAAATCGGAGAACATCTTGTGCTATTGTGTGGCTGAATTGAGTGTTCATTTGGTTTAGACTCATCGCTGAGCCTGGAACCCCAGGTCTCGGCGGTGACCGGGAGAGTTTTTGCACAATTAAAACTTGTGCGCCAGCTGCGCCCGTACCTTGGGAAGTCGGATCTGGCCACAGTGGTCCACGCTCTTGTTACATCCCGGTTGGATTACTGCAACGCACTCTACGTGGGGTTGCTTTTGAAGACTGCTCGGAAACTTCAACTAGTCCAGCGAGAAGCAGCCAGATTGCTCACCGGAGCGGCGTACAGGGAGCATACCACCCCCCTGTTGTGTCAGCTCCACTGGCTGCCGATCCAATTCCGAGCACAATTCAAAGTGCTGGTTTTGACCTACAAAACCCTATACGGTTCCGGCCCAGCGTACCTGTCCGAACGGATGTCCCTCTACGTCCCACCTCGGAGTTTAAGATCTTCTGGGGAGGCCCTGCTCTTGACCCCGCCTCTATCACAAGTGAGGCTGGCGGGGACGAGGAGCAGGGCCTTCTCGGTGGTGGCCCCTCACCTGTGGAACTCACTCCCCAGGGAGATTAGATCAGCGACTTCCCTTTTTTCATTCAGAAAAAAATTGAAGACCTGGATGTGGGACCAGGCTTTTGGACATTCTGGCAGCTAAAGGAAAGACCTTGATGATGGGCAGGAATTGACGGAACGGAATGGATTTATGGAACTCTGAACACTGAGCATGAGATTGTTTACTACTGTGTTATGTATTGATGTTTTTAACCTGTTAACTGTTTAATTGCTTTTATGTATGTATGTATATTTGATATAGGCATCGAATTGTGCCTTTTTTGTAAGCCGCCCTGAGTCCCCCCCCTCGGGGGTGAGAAGGGCGGGGTAGAAGTAACTGAAATAAATAAATAAATAAATAAATAAATTAGTAAAGCCTCTCGAGGAGCTATTTCCTGTATGAAAAATAAAATAAATGAACAATCTCTATATATAAAAATGCAATGTTAGTTTGTGGGATTAAGCCAAAAAATATATAAAAAATACAATGCATGCGCAAAACCACATATATACACATAGACAAATTTATACATACACATATACACACTCAAAACACATATACACAGACTGTGCCACAGCAACGCGTAGCAGGGAAAGGCTAGTAATCTATATAAATAAAAATGTAATGTTCGTGTGTGGGATTAACATAACTCAAAAACCACTGGGCAAATTGACACCAAATTTGGACACAAGACACCTATCAGCACAACGGGTGACCACCATCACTCAGAAAAATACTGAAAAACACAGCAGAAGGGATTTAAAAAGCCAAAAAATATATAAAAAATACAATGCATGCGCAAAACCACATATATACACATAGACAAAATTATATATACACATATACACACACAAAACACATATACACAGACTGGGCCACAGCAACGCGTAGCAGGGAAAGGCTAGTAATCTATATAAATAAAAATGTAATGTTCGTTTGTGGGATTAACATAACTCAAAAACCACTGGAGAAATTGACACCAAATTTGGACACAATACACCTATCAGGCCAACAAGTGACCATCACTCATAAAACCCTCCCAAAAAAAACAGCAGAAAGGACTTAAACAAAAAACCAAAATGACGAAAAGCAAAATGACGATATAGGGGAGGAAAGGGAAGGAAGGAGAGAGAGGGAGGGAGGGAAAGAAAGAATGAAGTATGGAAGCAAAGAGCGAAGGAAGAAAGGAAAAAAGTGGAGAAGGAAGAAAGGAGAGAGAAAAAGAAAAGGGGGAAGGAAGGAAAGAGAGAATGAAAGAAAAAAGGGAAGGAAGGAAAGAGGGATCGAAGGAAGATTGAAAAGAGAGAAAGAGGGAGGGAAGGAAAGAGAGAAGGAAGGATGGAAGCAAAAAAGCGAAGGAAGGAAGGAGGGAGAGAAGGAAGAAGGAAAGAAGGGGAGGGAAGGAAGAGGAGAGAAGGAAAGGAAAGGAGAGAAAGAGGGAGGGAAGGAAAGACAGAAGGAAGGATGGAAGCAAAAAGCAAAGGAAGGAAGGAAAGAGGTAGAGAAGGAAGAAAGGAGAGAAAGAGAGAGAGAAAGAAGGAAAGAGAAAAAGGATGGAAGCAAAAAGTGAAGGAAGAAAGGAGAGAAGAAGAAGGAAAAGAAAAGGGAAGAGAAGAGTAGAGAAGGAAGAGAGAAGAGGGAGGGAAGGAAAGAAAGAGGAAGGATGGAAGCAAAAAGTGAAGGAAGGAAGGAAAGAGGTAGAGAAGGAAGAAGGAGAGAAAGAGAGGAAGAAAGAAGAAAAGAGAAAAAGGAGAAGCAAAAAGTGAAGGAAGGAAGAGGAGAGAAGAAAAAGGAAAAGAAAGGGGGGAAGGAAAGAGGAGAAGAAGGAGGAAGGAGAGAAAGAGGAGGGAAGGAAAGAGAGAAGGAAGATGGAAGCAAAAAGCAAAGGAAGGAAGGAAAGAGGTAGAGAAGGAAGAAAGGAGAAAAGAGAGGGAAGAGAAGGAAAAAGAGAGAAGGATGGAAGCAAAAAGTGAAGGAAGGAAGAGATAGAGAAGGAAGAAAGGAGAGAAAGAGAAAGGAAAAGAAAAAGAGGAAGGAAGAAAAGAGGTAGAGAAGGAAAGAAGGAGAGACGGAAAGAAGAAAAAGGAAGGAAGGTGAGAGGGAGCGAAGGAAGGATGGAAAGAAGGAGAGAAAGAGGAAGGGAAGGTTGGCCACAGCAATGCGTGGCGGGTACAGCTAGTGCTGAGTAATTATACGAAAGAAGAAGGAAAAGAAAAATGGGGGAATGAAAGAAAGAGGTAGAGAAGGAAGGAGGGAAAGGAGAGAACGAGGGAGGGAAGGTTGGCCACAGCAACACATGGCGGGTACAGCTAGTATTTAAATATATTGCAAACCTTTCTAAACATTTCACAACGATGTGGTCAGGTAATATAGTTGGTTACGGGATTGTGTCCCTTTGCTTCAAAGTCTTACAGTCAAATTGTGTATGTGGTTCAAGCCTGCAAGTATATCGGAATCCATTTGCATTTGGGGCTGTTATTATTTTTAATGGTGTGGATATTTGTATTAATGTTTGTATTATGATGCTTTGATCTGAGAAACTGAACTTCGCTGGGTTTTCTTTCCATAGGATTTCACGCAGAGCCAGACTGACAATCAGCCTTGCCAACCAAATGGTACGTTCCCTGTATCAATATATCAAATTCACATTTTGCAATGCAGACAATATTTTACAGTGTTCCCCTTAAAAAATATGCTTAGATTGAAGTTGCGGTTGCCGCCTGCTTATGGTAGATAACACAGCCTTGGAAAAAAGCAATTTCTTTTTGTTAAAAAGTAATAAAAGAACCTGAAAACACTCTTCATAGACACCCAGTTGAGCCATGTGAATGTGATATAAAGCAAAAATGTATACCGTACATACTCGAGTATAAGCTAAGTTTTTCAGCCCATTTTTTTAAGCCTAAATGAGCCCCCCTCTGCTTATACTCGAGTCAAAGTTATTTATTATTTTGGGAAAATGTATAGACTTGGCTATAAACTGAAGGTGGGAAATCAGTAAGTTAAATGTTTTTGAATATTTACCTAAAACTGTAATTTAAGATAAGACTGTCCAACTCTGACTCAACCATTATTCTAACCTTCTTCAATGTAAATATGCTTATGTATCCTTCCAATAATAATAAATAGAGTAAAATAATAATAGTAACAATAAAATAATAAATGGCATAATAATAATAGAGTAAAATAATAAATGTAACAATAACAATAATAAATAGAGTAAAATAATAAATGTAATAACAACAATAGTAAAGTAAAACAACAACAACAATAACAACAACAAAGTAAAATAATAAATAACCTTGACTCGAGTATAAGCCGGGGGAGACTTTTTTTAGCCTAAAAAAAGGACTGAAAAACAAGGCTTATACTCGAGTATATACAGTAATAATAAAATAATACTTGGGTCAGCTTATACTTGAGCGTATTCAGTATATTACTTAGATTGACTTGAGACAAAGCTCCCGAGGAAATGTGCTCAAGATTGCTTTATCTGTATACGAACATGTTCCCTTCTTCTAACAGAACGGTTCCTGGCAACATGTCTTTTTCTTTCGTTCTGTCTTCCAAACAGAAAAGCTCTTCGGCCCCCAGTATTACCTTGAGCTCAGCAACAGGTTTCCCCGCCAGACGTGGGAAGAGGCTCGGCAGTTCTTCTTGAAGAAAGATCAAAAATAAGGTTTACCTTTCTTTCCCCGTTTAGGTTTTCTTCTCACTCTTTTTAATGGTTGACTGATTCCTGACATTACTGAGATGTTGGGGTTGTTTTTTTTTTTTTTTGTATTAAAGTTGCACCTATTTGTAGATAAATATTTATATACGTAATTAAAAAATATGCAATTTGCACTATTTCGGTCGGAAGGATTGTACAGACGTTAAAATGCTCTTTTCCTCATTTGCAAACAAGTTTGTTTGTATGTTTTCTTTACCACATGTCCCATGACCTCTGCAACTCCCATCGCCCCCAGCGGCATGGAAGGGTTGGCAGTGGATGATGGCTGTTGTACAAATACTTTGGAGCATCTTAGGGAATGATAGGACACTCCAGGCTTCTCCCTTCGGATGATCACAAAACACTACATTGCTTTCTTCCTATCGGTGATGCACTTGGACTAGTAATAGGAAGAAATTGTCCTCTTCTGTATAAGTTAATTTATTTCGTTCTGTTGTCTGTTTTGTATAACATTTTTATACCATATATATATATATATATATATATATATATATATATATATATATGAATATGAATACCTATATATGTATAGGAATGCTCTGAATTTAATTCTGTTATTTAAAAAAAAGCACAAAATCCCGAAATGTAGATAAGCTAAGGAAATGCAATGCCTCTTTGGGCTTCGTTTTTGATTTACTTTGGTTTTGAGGAATGGGTTGCAACATATGTATGTTCTTTCAAAAGGCTGTCCCACAAGTCTGTAAGTGGGGGAGAGTTTTCACAAAATTTATTAAAAGCAATGTTACAGCCGGTGGGACAGTCTTGTCGTTCTTTCCCCTCAATGTTCAGTACGGACCAATTTGTTTTGAACTTAGTGACCTTGGACCAATTGCCTTCTCAGCCTGAACTACGAGGATTATCCAAAAAGTACAATTACAAAGCACGTAACTCTTGCGGGGAATTTCCTCAGGGGAAATTGGTATCACTGCCATGTAGCGGGAAGCCAGCAGAAGTGAACGAGCAATGCTAGTCGTCAGTAGCTCATCAACCGGAGTTGTGGTGAAGGTTAGAAATGAATATCTTCCTTCCATTTCCCTCCAAGTGCGAAGTTCTTGCTGTATGAGGGATATCTGGAAAGTAAGGTTACAAGGCACATAGCTCTCACAGGGAATTTTCGCAGGGGGAGTTGGTATCAACGCCATGTAGCGGGAAGCCAGTTGAAGTGAACGAGCAGTGCCAGTCGTCAGTAGCTCATCGACTGGCGTTGTGGTGAAGGTTAAAAGTGAGTGTCCTCATTCCATTTCCCTCCAAGTGTGAAGTTCATGTTGTACGAGGGATATCCAGAAAGTAAGGTTACAAGGCATGTAGCTCTCACGGGAAATTTTCTCAGGGGAAATTGCCAGCAGAAGTGAACAAGCAGTGCCAGTCGTCAGTAGCTCATCGACCAGAGTTGTGGTGAAGGTTAGAGATGAGATCCTCATTCCATTCCCTCCCAAGTGTGAAGTTCTTGCTGTACGAGGGATATCCGGAAAGTAAGGTTACAAGGCATGTAGCTCTCATGGGAAATTTTCTCAGGGGAAATTGGTATCACTGCCATGTAGCGGGAAGCCAGTTGAAGTGAACGAGAAGTGCCAGCCCTCAGTAGCTCATCAACTGGCATGGTGAAGGTATAAAAATGAGCGTACTCATTCCATTTCCCTCCAAGAGTGAAGTTCATGTTGTACGAGGGATATCTGGAAAGTAAGGTTACAAGGCATGTAGCTCTCACGGGAAATGTTACTCAGAGGAAATTGGTATCACTACCATGTAGCGGGAAGCCAGCAGAAGTGAACGAGCAATGCTAGTCGTCAGTAGCTCTTTGACCAGAGTTGTGGTGAAGGTTAGAGATGAGCATCCTTATTCCATTCCCTCCAAGTGTGAAGTTCTTGCTGTACAAGGGATATCCGGAAAGTAAGATTACAAGGCGTGTAGCTCTCACGGGGAACTTTCTCAGGGGAAGTTGGTATCACCGCCATGTAGTGGAAAGCCAGTTGAAGTGAACGAGCGATGCCAGTCCTCAGTAGCTCATCTACTGGCGTTGTGGTGAAGGTTAAAAATGAGCGTCCTCATTCTGTTTCCCTCCAAGTTTATGTTATACGAGGGATATCTGGAAAGTAAGGTTACAAGGCATGTAGCTCTTGCGGGGAATTTTCTCAGGGGAAGTTGGTATCACTGTCTTGTAGTAGGAAGCCAGCAGAAGTGAACGAGCAGTGCCAGTCGTCAGTAACTCATCGACTGGTGTTGTGCTGAAGGTTAGAGATGAGCATCCTCATTATGTTTCCCTCTAAGTGCAAAGTTCGCACTGTAATGTGCTACCTAAATGCAAAGGGCATGAACGCCACTGTGATTCATCGCGAAATCATTTCAGTTTATGGAGAGGACATAATGTCAAGACAGCATGTGACAAAATGGGTACAGAGTATATTGTGAGACCATGAAGAAACTTTGCAGAGCAGTCCAAAACAGATGTGGGATGCTGAGTCTGTCTCCTTAATAATAATAATAATAATAATAATAATAATAATAATAATAATAATAATAATAATAATATAAGAAGAAGAAGACGACACAGGCATCAAAAACTTGTGCCATGGACGGGAAAATGCATTGAACTGAATTGTGATTGTGTGGAAAAATAATGTAATACCTATGCTACAATCCATGTAAATTTTATGCAAATATATTCATTCTTTGTATTTAAAAAATTGTAACCTTACTTTCCCTTGTGTGTGTGTCTATATTGTATATGTATATTTTGTAAGCTTGCTTTATGCATAACCCTTGTACCTTGAAAAGTTGTTTCAGGGAGAAACTGGAAGACCCATGCACACCGCCCTGATGGCTTTCCCAAGAAGGGCAGATAATAAGAAATTAAGACTGTATAAACAAACACAAAACAGGAATGTCAACCGGAGGGTGCTTAGTTCTGACATGCCATCACAAACACAAGAACACCCAGTTCTTTCTCATGTATCTTGCACCAAGTTTGAGCCCAGTTGGGAATTTGGTGAAGAATTAACTTCAGTCTTCATAAGCGGACTTAACGTACGCAGGAAATAGAACTGAGCAGCTTTGCAATGTGTTCGGCAAGAAGTTGAGACGTTATATTGGAGGAAAGCTAACAGAGAGAGCATGACATATCGGGACCAATGTGAATGGTGATATCTGTTGGGGAATCTGAGCTGTTAGGCTCAAAAATAACCCTGAGTTGGGGTGATTCCACCATAAATCCACAAGACAGAGGTCTTCCTGGTCAGTTGCAAGGCCAAACAGGGTATACGGTTACAGCCTGTGTTGGATGGGGTTACAATCCTCCTGAAGACACAGGTTCGCAGCTTGGGTGTGATACCTGCATGACTGTGTACGAACCCACGCAATCTCTTCGATCATCTGGAGAGGCCCTGCTCTCGCTCCCACCCCCTTTGCAGGCGCAATTGGTGGGGACGAGGGAGAGGGCCTTCTCTGTGGTGGCCCCCCGACTTTGGAACTCAATCCCCAAGGATATCAGACAAGCCCCCACATTGGCAGTCTTTAGGAGGAGCCTGAAAACGTAGCTGTTCCAGTGTGCCTTCTCTGAATAAAGGAAACAATGCCCTGGGGAGATGGTGACGGGGTATAAATAAATTATTATTATTATTATTATTATTATTATTATTATTAATCGCTGAGCCTAGAGCCCCAGGTCTTGGCAGTGACCAGGGGAGCATTTGCACAGTTAAAGCTTGTGCGTCAGCTGTACCCGTACCTTGGGAAGTCTGATTTGGCCAACTTTGTGTCATGGAAACCTTGTTGTTGTAAATAGTGCAACCATATTATTTTACTACAAAGAAAAGACTCGTAAGAAAGAGATAAAATGGGTCTGTATGTTTTTTATTCTTTGTATTACTTTGGTGCTGGGTCACGCTGTTACTAATAAGTTACACTGCTGTACATTTATGAAGAGGGTCTTTTGTTAATGAGCCCACTTGACCACTAAGGTTGACCTTACCAAGTGATCATAAATCAGAAACAATTTGAAGGCACACAACAATGAAAAATTGTTCTTTATTACGTTCCGTGTGTCCTCTTCCGTGTGTTTGTCTTCAGTGTCCTCGCTGTTCCATCTAGAAATCTGTCTCAAAAGCTCTCACTTTATGTTCTTATTATCAGGGAACGTTTTCAGAAAAACCTCCATGACATTGAGTCAGAAAAATGGATATGAGTGGTCAGTACTCGGCGGAGAAGCCAACATTAGGGTGTTCCTCCAAGAAAGGCCAAGAAGGGAAGGAATTCGGGTAGAAATGCCCTAAAGGCACCCGATCCTGTCTGATAGAATCATAGAATCACAGATTTGGAAGAGACCTCGTGGGCCATCCAGTCCAACCCCATTCTGCCAAGAAGCAGGAAAATTGCATTCAAAGCACACCCGACAGATGGCCATCCAGCCACTGTTTAAAAGCTTCCAAAGAAGGAGCCTCCACCACACTCTGAGGCAGAGAGTTCCACTGCTGAACGACTCTCACAGTCAGGAAGTTCTTCCTAATGTTCAGGTGGAATCTCCTTTCCTGTCGTTTGAAGCCATTGTTCCATTGCGTCCTAGTCTCCAGGGCAGCAGAAAACAAGCTTGCTCCCTCCTCCCTGTGGCTTCCTCTCATGTTTTTATACATGGCTGTCATGTCTCCTCTCAGCCTTCTCTTCTTCAAGCTAAACATGCCCAACTCTTTAAGCCGCTCTTCATAGGGCTTGTTCTCCAGACCCTTGATCCTTTTAGTCACCCTTCTCTGGATTCATTCCAGGTTGTCAACATCTCCCTTGAATTGTGGTGCCCAGAATTGGACACAGTATTCCAGATGTGGTCAAACCAATTGAGAGGGAGCATGACTTCCCTGGATCTAGACACTAGACTCCTATTGATGCAGGCCAAAATCCAATTGGCTTTTTTTGCCACCGCATCACATTGTTGGCTCATGTTTAACTTGAGCCTATCCGATTCCCGCCCGGTTTACCTGTCCAAATGTATTCTCCCCTATGAACCATCAAAACAATTAAGATTTTCTGGTGGGGCCCTGCTCTCAGTCCGGACACTTTTGCAATTACGTCTGGTGGGAATGAGAGATAGGGCCTTTTCTGTGGTGGCCCCTCGGCTATGGAACTCTCTCCCAATTGAGATCAGATCTGCCCCCTCCCTCCTGTCCTTCAGGAGGCTGGTGAAATCCTGGCTATGGAAGGAAGAATTCCCAGAGTAATGGTTGAAACCGGCTACAGAACAAAGTTATCGACCACACATAGGGACTGAGTTGAACATGATTTTATCTTGGCGATTTAGCCTATTTGTAATTTTAATCTATATGTATTTTAACTTGTGATTATATGTTGTTTTTAGATTGTACAATTAGCATTGAATCCTTGCTGTAAGCCGGTCTGAGTCCCTCTACGGAGGTTGAGAAGATCGGGATATAAAAGTTTTAAATAAATAATCTATATAAATAAAAACGTAATGTCCGTTTGTGGGATTAACAGAACTCAAAAACCACTGGACGAATTGACACCAAATTTGGACACAAGACACCTAACAACCCAATGTATGTCCTTCACTCAAAAAAATTGATTTTGTCATTTGGGAGTTGTAGTTTGCTGGGATTTATAGTTCACCTACAATCAAAGAGCATTCTGAACCCCACCAATGATGGAATTGAACCAAACTTGGCACACAGTTCTCCCATGACCAATGGAAAATACTGGAAGGGTTTGGTGGGCAGTGTCCTTTGGTTTTGGAGTTGTAGTTCACCTACAT